AGAACCCAAATCTGTCATCAAGTAATCTTGCCTTGCAGCACCATGCTCTGGCTTCAGTTGGCATTGGTCCCTGTTATGGCTTGTATCTAGATGTCCCCCCAAAGCTTCATGCTCTCATAGGTGGGGCATTTTGGAGGTGGCTAGATCTAGGGTGTGTGAGTGTGGATTAAGGGTGTTCAATATGGATTAAGGATGTGGTCATGGAATAGCCCAGTGATTTGTTTAGGATAGTTCTGGGTGTGGGTAATAGGAAGCCCCACCCTGGGTGTGAGTGGTACCAACCAATAGGCTTGCTGGCTCCTGCCTGCCCTCCCATGGACTGTTTCTCCTCTGCAGTGCCCCTCTGCCATGCTGCCCTGCCTTGGAGCCAGGCTACTATGTACTGAAACCTCTATAAACTGTGCAGTTTAACTTGTGGGTGTCGGCTATTTTATCCTAGCAATGAAAAAGTAACTAAGACAGGCCTTGCAAAGGGACATTGATATGAACAACCCTTGATTCCTGATGCAAACTTTAGAAAAACTAGCAAACAAGTACTAAAGGAGACCTTAATTCTCCATCTCTAGTGGCCTTGAGCCCAATTCAGGATATGTTTCTATAGTTAAAGGAGGAATTTATTATTAATTACAATCTTAATAATTATTAAAACAATCAACTATCCTCTTAATTATTAGCACATATTAATCATATAAATTAAGGGGTTTCATTGTGATATTTCATATATGCATATAATGTACATTGATCAGATCCATAATTTTTTTTATCACACAAAGGAATGTAAGTGAAGGTGCTGGCCCGGCCTTGTGTCTTCATCTGCATTGACTTCCCACAGTGTCCTCCGCAGCCTGCCTGCTCACTGGCTACTTCCACTTATGCAGATGCAGTTTTTAGACTTTGAAGATAGTGTTAGGACTTCATTATAAAGTCATAACGCCAACACTAAAATAGGCTGCATAGAGCCCGGAGGTATAAAGAGAAAGGCGAAGAAGAGAAATACAGCAAAGGTAAAGTCCCAGGGAAGTGTCCTGGTTGGGTTTCCTTGCTCAGCACTTGGAGGTGACCTTGAGGATTCTGGCAGGAAGGTGACACTGAAGATTTACTAGAATGTTCTTTCTCTTCCAGGCCACCAGGCCACCACTAGTAGACAGGGAGCCACTCAGCCTTCTCAGAGCTCCACCTGTCCTCTTGTCACCTGCAGACTTTCGTCTCCTCTGGGCCTCGGTAGTTGACTAACCAGGCTCGATGCAGTGGAATCAGTCAGAACGGAGTTGAAATTGGCAGTAGTCCCTTTAGAAATGGCTCGCCAATCAAAAGTATTCAGGAACAAGACTAGCCAAAAGCAGTGTCAAGTGTTTAGTCGAAAAATGCGGGGTGAATAGGTATGAGAGAAACCAGCTCTGCGGAGTGAACTTGGGTCAAGCAAGAGAAAAAGAAAGTGAAAGCAAAAAAAACAGTACACACTGCATCAGAGAAACACAATGTGGGATGTCATCGTAGTGGCTCCAGGTGGCATACCATCTTCTTTTATGCCATCTACATCTCTTGGGAGCTTGAGAGAAGTTCTTCTTATGGGGTCCTGGGGTTGCCCTGGGATCTTGTAATTGACAGGTCCTGCTCATTTTCCCAGCCAGCTCCGCCACCCTGTGTTTCCTATATCAGAACCATGCTGCTATGTGACCTAGGTCAAGTCGCATGACCATTCTCGGTCTGTTTCCACACTTATAAAACAGAAAATCCGAGGAAGTCATGGCTATGATTGTTGTTTATGATTCAAATGTCTCCCCAGGGTTTTTTTTGTTGCTGTTGTTTGTTTTGTAATGGGGATTGAACTCAGGATCTCATGCTTGCCAGGCAAGTGCTGTGTCGCTGGGCTAAATCCCTGGCCCCCAGCGTTTTTTGGAAACAAACAAACAAACAAACAAACAAAAAACCAGATATCTGACCTTGTTTCTTCTGTTCAAAACCTCGTGTTGTCTCTCCTTTTGGATGAGGTCCAGCTGTCTCAGTCTCTCCAGCCATTAACTAACTTCTACAGCTTTCATGCCTTCTCCATGCTCTGGACATACTTTTTTTTTTTTCTTAAATTCTTTTATTGGTACATTTTAGGTATACAATACATTTACATTTATCATTGGGTACTTGTACCGTTACGTGATGTATCTTGGTTCTTATTTTTTCCCCATTTCCTGTCCACCCTTCCCTATTTACAAAGACTTTGTTTCCATTTTTTCCTTTTCTCATAATTTTTCCTTTCCCTTCTTTCCTTTCCCCTACCCCTCCCACTTCCCCTACCCCTTTGGACCTTTTCTTCCTATTTCTTTGAAGCTCCAAATGCTTGTGTTTCATTTCCAGGAAATGTTTGTAGAATCATTTATGATGATGATGTTTCTCTCTTTTCTCTCTTTTTTCTTTCAATGCCTATTATTTAGATATTGGATTTCTTAGACTATTCTTCTAATTTTGTTTTCTTTTCTCTTCAATTTTCTATCTTTGGCTATTCTTTCTACTTTCTAGGAGACTTACTACTGAGTTTTTGGGGTTTTTTGTACTGGGGATTAAATCCAAAACCTTCATGCTGAGCTATATCCCCAGCCCTTGTTTATTTTTAATTTTGAGACAAATCTCACTAATTGCTTAGGACAGGCTAACAATCTTTTTACCTCAGGCCCCCAGAGTGCTGGGATTATAAGTGTACACCACCATGCCTATTACTGAATTTTTCCATTTCTACTGTCATCCTTTTAATTTCTAAGACTACCTTTATGGCCTCTAAATGTTCCTTTTTTGTTATATCATGTTCTCTTTTCTTAGATGCAGTATCTTTTGTTATTTAATCCTCTTCTCTTATTTCTGTGTATTTGTTGTTTGTTTTGGAGTTTATCATCCACATTACCACATTATCAGCTCTCATCAGGTATCTGGTGATACTGGGATGACTGATCATAATTGCTTGATCATATGCAATCACTGTTGTACAGAACCATCAGTTTGATTGGAAGCTCTTACACTGATTCAGAAGTCAAGTATATGGAGCTTTTGAACTTTGTTTGGCAAAATAGGGTTGTTGGAGATCTTGCTGTGTCAGTGTTTTTAGGTCTGTTCTTAGATTACCTAAGCATTCTAAGTATTTAAAAGAGTACCTGACATATAGCAAGTGCTCAATACATGTTAGCTGTTATTGTCATTATTATTGCAGAAAATATGAACACAGAAAAATATATATATATAGTTTCAGATAACCTAGAAGTACACAGCCTTGCTAGGAAAAATGAAATCATTCTCACAAACTTTGAATGGCAGTTTTGATACTTCAGTGTAGGCAGGTGAATGGCAGATAGCATGAATAGAAGAAAGACACAGGGTCATCACAGGAGGGGACGGGAAGACAGCTGATTGACTGGGGAGGCGCAGTGGCTAGAACAGACCCCAAATAGTCCCCGTGGCTTTCCGACACCCTCATTAAGCCGGTGTCTAGTCCTTCTCCATCTCTGAAGTCCTAGTGTGATGGGTCCAGGCACACTTGGGGCAGATCTGTAAATTAGCTCCATGGCTCTGTCAGTGGCCATCCATTTGATGGGTGAGGGCTCCAGAGGATGAGTCAACCACCATGGTCCAGTGTGATTTTATTGAAGAGATTCTCTTCACTTTCCCAGTGGGCTTCAGTTTTCATTGAGGAGCCTCAGAGAGGCCCTCTCTGTTGTTCACTTCTGCTCTGTCTTCTGGGGTTCAGAACCATGGCCTTTATGGCCCCCTGGCGCCTCTGCTGGGCGCGTGGTCCCTCTGCACATACTTTATGCAGTAATGGCTGACGTTTCCATTCCGTTTGTGCATATGTATGCGGTGAGAGAGAAATGGTTTTCTTTTACTTACTCAGCCTTTCCAGTGTACACTGATTCAAAACCCAACACCTCTCTCCCTCTCCCTCTCTCCTTTCTTCCTTCTCCTATTTAACCTTGGGATATGTGTGCCCAAGTGTCCTGTGTTTCCATTATAGCATTTATTGGTCTGAGCTATTCTAAAGACAAATTTTTTAAATTATAGTTTTAGAGCACTGGAAGAGTAAGTCCTTCCCTCTTTTATTTATTTTTAGAATGACTTAGATTTTTTTTTTTTGGTACTGGGGATCAAACTCAAGACCTTGCTTTTGCAAGGCAGGCAGTGGAACCACTGAGCTAAATCCCTGGCCCTAAAATGACTTAGATTTAATCACAGGAAGCAAACTAAGTAGAAAGCTTACAATAAAGAAGGATTACATGTCAGTGCCTTTTGCAAACTGAGCTGGGACTAAAGGGCCTGGGGCCTGCCCCTCAACGTGACCCCTTCCAAAAAAGACATCCACAGTGCTCCTGGCACACTGGCTCAGGAAAAGGGGAGACTGATGATCTGTGTGCTGAAGTTGCTTTGGGCCCCATTCACTCCTGGCCAGCATCAGGAGCCCTGCCTTGCTGGCTCCGATTGTCACCCTTCTTTCTGTGGCCTGAGACAATGTTATCAATCAGCAGCAGAACTGCCGTCTCCACTGCTGTCTTGTATGTTTGCAGCTTCATAGCCAAAGGCTCCCATATGGCCAGCTCCTTCAAATTCGCCACAGCCCCCATCTCCCTGTTTATACCCCAGGCCTCATAGCCTTCCTGCATGTGTTTGGCCTGAAGGGAGGTCAGTAGGTGGATGGTGCTGGCCCCACAGTTCTAGATGAGGGTTCGAGGGATGACCTCCAGAGCCTGGGCCACAGCCCTCTTGGGCCACTAGTCCACTCCAGTCATGGCCTTGAATTTTTCTGTCAAGACCCGGGCCACAGCCATCTCAGAGGCCCCACCTCCCGGCATCAGCTGAGGGTAGAGGAGCATGCTGCAGCACACTTGCATGGCGTCCTGCAGGTTGCACTCTACTTCTGAAAGTGTCTCTTTGCTGGCTGCTCTGAGGAGGATGGTGCAGGCCTTGGGGTCTTTGCACTCAGTGATGAATGTAAAGTATTTGTCTCCAATTTTCTTGATTTCCAGCAGGCCTGCTCCGGTCCCAACATCATCTTCTCTCAGCTTCTCGAGTTGGCTATCCAGGCCCTGCAGGCGCTAACAATCCAATTATTGTGTGTCTTCTGGACTCTGGATGGCTGTGATATTGGCCTGCAAGAGGTAGTGCTGAGCTAAGTCTGAGATGCCCTTCTCTGTGATGACTGTGTCAGGCTTCAGCTGGATGATGTCCTTGCAGAGCTGCTTGATACACTCTTCTTCCATCTGGAGGATTTGCGCCAAGTCTTCCTCTTGTGTAATTTCTTTTTTTTTTTTTTTGGTACCAGGGATCAAACTCAGGACCTTGTGGTTGTGAGGCAGGCGTAGTGCCACTGAGCTAAATCCCCAGCCTCCTCTTGTGTAATTTCAGTGTCCATCTGGCTTTTTCCTTTCTTGTATTCCAGAGGAGAATCCAGCAGCACAACTCAAGGGGGAATGGGTCACATCCTTGTGAATCACGACAGGATGTTAACCACACAGGATGCGTGAGTCTTCAGCGATGCCCCCACCTATCTTTTCTGCCTTTGCATATTTTTTGACGTCAGTCTCCTTCCAACCATTCTCTTTGAACTGTACAGTCTTGACAGCATCCAGGGCAATGTCATAAGCCAGAGAAGACCACAGACTGATTACTTTTGTAGTAATGGAGCTACTGGTGATGTTTAGCATCATATAATGGTTATTGATGTCAACAGGGATGCTGATTTTCTTTAGAAGGCTGAGCATATCCAATGGCTTGTGGTAAGCACTGATCATCACTGTCGGGTGCATCTGCTGCTCTAGGAAGTGTTCAGCCACAGACAACATCTCTCCTGCAAGAACAGTTATGGATGTGGTCCCATCTCCAACCTCTTCATCTTAGATCTGGCAAATTTCAGTCGTTGACTTGGCTGCTGGATGCTGGACTTGACTCTCTCAAAGAATAGCGTTGCCATCATTGGTCATCACAATGCCTTCCACTGGATCCCAAAGCATCTTCTTCATGGACTTGGGTCCCAAACATGTTTGAATGATATCTGCAATAGTTTTAGCAGCATTGATGTTTCCAGATTAAACTTTTCTTCCAGATTCATGCTTTGTATTCTGGCTGAGCATGAGCATGGGATGGTGGCCCATCACGGTGGTGCAATGCACAGCCAGGTACCCAGAGCTGGGGAAACCAGCAGAACCTTCTGGAGAGAGAGAGAGAGAGAGAGAGAGAGAGAGAGAGAGAGAGAGAGCCCCTCTTTTATCTTGGTGTCTCCCTGTCTAGTTCCTCTTATACCTCTGTTCTGTACTCAGGAGGCAAGAAATACATGCTTGTTAAACTGAATTGTATGATCACAGGTCTCTAAATCTTCAGCATGAGCCACAATAGATATAGCTCTAGATATATCTATATCTAGATATAGATTTCATCTCTGTACAGTAAATTCCTTTGTAGTTGCTGACTTTGGACATGAGCATGAAGAGGACAAGTAATATAGTTGTGTTCAGTTATTATCTTATCTTTCAAGTGGTAGAAAGAAGAAAGACTAAGCTCACCAGCATTGGTCCTAACAGCTAGAACATAATATGTAGTTAAGTGGTTTGGATGGTATGTGGTGAAAAAGTGTACATTTGTGTTAGTCGGCTTTCTGTCACTATCAAAAATGCTTGAGGCAATCACTTTTCAAAGAGAAAAGCTTTGTTTTGGGTCATATTCTAGAGGTCCTGGGCGTGAAAGAGGTTGATGAAGGGTCCAGTGCAAAACAGCAAACCACTCACTTGTTCAGGAAGCAAAAAGGAAGAGGAAAGGGTTGGGGTCCCACACACCCCGAGGGCAGCACACAGTGACCTTCATCTACCACCAGTCCCACCTCCCAAAGGTCCCAGCGCCATCCGCAGCGCCTCCCGGGGACCAAGCCTTGGACACAGCAGCATTTGGGGGCTGTTCAGGATCCAGGCTCCTGCAGTGGTTCCAGGTACTGAGGTGAACTGGGATTCGTAATGCCTGGAGGGCTCAGATGTAGCACCTGTGTGCTCAGTGTCTCTGCTTTTTTGGTTTTTTTTTAAGAAACCCCATAGTTAACCTATACTTCCAAACCTTAATCCCAGACTTTTCTGAATTCTCTACTAACCCTAAAGCATGCTATTTGGTATAGCTTGACAAGAAACTCCATGGTCAGATAAATTAGTGAAACATTGGATTAGACAAAGATAACAGAATTTCTCAAGGTTTTTGCTAATAAACTTTGTGAATCTGTAAAAAGATGCATATGGTATGGGCATTGTTGCAGACTGAACATATCCACCCAGAATTTGTATGTGAAAGCTTTAACTCTTAGTGGGACAGTGTTAGGAGGTGTGAAGTAGGGACTTTGGGAAGTAGTTAGGGTTAGATGAGGTATGAGGGTAGGGCCCCATGACAGGGTTAGTGCCCTTGTGAGAAGAGACTAGCCAGTGTGGCGATGCATGCCTGCAATCCCAGCACCTGGAAGGCTGTGTCAGGAGAATCAGCTCAAGTTTAGGGCCAGTCTGGGCTACATAGTGAGTTAAGGCCAGCACAAGCTACGGAGTGAGAGTTGTCTCGAAAAACAATAAATAAATAAATAAATAAATAAATAAATAAATAAGATCTCTCTCTTCCTCTCCCTCTTTCCCCTTCTTCCTCTCTTTCTCTCCCAAAAGCACACACCAATAAAACAAAACACAAATGAAAATAAAAAATAAAAGAAAATTTAAAAACTCCTCAAAACAGGCTATCTGGGCCAGGGATTTAGCTCAGTAGTGCTGCACCTGCCTGGCAAGCACAAGGTCCTGAGTTTGTTTCCCGGTACAGGAAAAAAAAAAACAAAAATGGGCCATCTGCAAGCCAGAAGAGTCCTCATCAAGAACTGAATCTGCCATACCTGGATCATAGGACTTCCCAGCCTGTGGAACTGTAAGAAATAAAGGTCTGGGGCCAGGGATTTAGCTCAGTGATTTCGCCACCTGCTGCACAAGCGCAAGGACCCGAGTTCGATCCTTGGTACCAGAAAAAAAAAAGAAATAAATCTCTGCTGTGTAGGCTGTGTGGTCTATGATATTTTGTCATAGTATTGTAGCAAACAGAACTCACAGTGTTGCAGCTCTAGGTGGTATAATAGAGTCAGGCTGAATGGAGCACACACCCTGGAAGTTGGAGGCAGGTTTATTTTGCTAGCAGACTGATTGGGGACTTCTCCACAAAGCGATCAACCCCATCTTTGGGGTGAACAGGGTTTATATAGATTTGGGAAAAGAGGGGTAGGGATATAGTGGCAAGACACTCAACATTACTTCAGTGGTTGAGGTAGATACATTCAGCTTATACAACTGGATGGAAAAGTACACTAGGATTCACCTTATTTACATATGGCGGGAAGCAAGGGTCACAGAAACCCTAATGAGAACAAAGGACAATGGAGGAAAACATGTTCGGGTCTCACTCAGACTTGCTGGACATGTTTTAGGTGCGGGAGGGGTCAGAGCTAGGAGAAACCTTTTGTTTGCTACCCAGTTAGCTGCAGCACAGGCTACTTCTGGTCAGAAATCATTTCCCTGTTCAATAGCACCCCAAAATAGGAGTGCTTCCAAATGTATTTGAAAATGGAATTCTTTTATAGTGCCTTATGGTAACCTACTATTTCATAGAAGACTCTTTGGGAAATGCTGCTCTAATTTTATTTTAATTCATCTGGAGACTTTACATAATTTGTTGCATCTCATAATAGCAGCACATGCCTATAATCCCAGCATTCTGGAGGCTGAAGCAGGAAGACTGCAAATTTGAGCCCAGCCTAGGCAATTTATCAAGATTTTGTCTCAAAGTAAAAAATAAAACCAAAAGAAGGGCTCGGGCTATAGCTCAGTGTGTAGGCCCTGGATTTAATCCCGAGTATTTTTGTTTTCACACACAAAATAAATACATTAAAATAAATAAAATAAGTAAGGCTTACCTACCGCACACAAGACCCCTATGTTCAATCCCCAGTACCACAAAAAGAAAACGCAAAGCAGCATGTGATATGATCCACATTACATCCTATCTCCCCTTCTATCAACGTCCAGAGAATTTCAATGTGTGGACAGGATAAATAGGCATTTTCAGTCAGCTTTCGACTTGAGGATCTGAACTGAAACATCAGCTCTCCGTTATTCTCCAGCCTGCTGGCCTTCTGACGGCAACTTCATTATCAGTCTCCCAGGTCTTCTGCCTGCCGACTTATCCTGCTGCCCTTGGGATGTGTCAGCCTCTAGAATGGAATGAGCTACTTCCTTATTATCTATCTATTCATTCTCCTGTTCTGTTTCTCTGGAGAACCCAAATACAACAGAAATACATTAACTAAAGAATCAACTATTTAAAGAAAAATACTCCCAAAGACCAGGAAGACCCCCAATTTTTTTTTTTTTTGAGACAAGGTCTTATTGTGTAGTCCAGGCTGGGCTGAAACGGGATCCTCCTGCTTCAGGTTCCTGAGCGCTAGGATTAAAGTCATGTGCCACCACATGTGGCAGAAAACCCCCTTTTGAAAGGCATGGCTATGCAAAATTCATACAGGATCAAGGATTTTTATTGACTAGAGTGAAATCAAATTTCATATTGAAAGAATTACAGGCATGGTGGCACATGCCTGTGTCTCAGCACTCAGGAGGCTGAGGCAGGAGGATTGCAGTGAATTTGAGGCCAGCCTGGGCTATATAGTGAGTTCAAGGCCAGCCTGAACCACATACCAAGACCCTGTCTCAAAAACAAAAAAAAATTACAGTGCTAACATGAAATTTCTGAGAGACAGACACTGGTGGTTTCTCTTTATAGTTCTAGTACAATGACTAGCACAGCATTTTTTTTTTTTTTTTTTAATGCTGGGGACTGAATCCAGGGCCTTAAACATGGTAGGCAAGTCTCTACCACTGAACTACACACCTCTAGCGCCCAGAAGTTAAATTTTTAGGTAGTTGCTTTTTTTTTGGTACCAGGGATCGAACTTGGGACCTTGCGCTTGTGAGAAAGGCAGCGGCACCACTGGGCTAAATCCCCGGCCCAGAAGTTGGATTTTTAATGGAACAAATATTTTGATGGTGATGGTGAGAATGAAAACCGAAAGACTTTGTGAAGTAGTGCTGTCACGCTAATGCAGACTAGTGATGAGGCGGTTAGGAGTGGGGCATTCCCTATGGAAGCCATCCCGCGGGAAGAGCCGTGCGTCTTGTCCGCAGCAGAGCGCACAGGTGAGCTTCTGCGGCCAGCGCTGGGTGAGAGGTGCAGCTTTTATGCCCACCCTGCGGCTCTGCTCTAGTGGTCTCCCTGCCTGCTCCTGCTCCTCCCCAGCATCAGTGCTTAAACACCACCCTCTTCCCTCCCTCCCGCCTCACCCTTTGTGTGCGCTCTTTTCTTCCATCCAATGAAAGGAAGACGGTGGGGTCTTGCCTTCCCCGGCAGCCAAACACCTTGGGGCTTGCTCCGGGCTTCACCTCCTCCACTGCCCACCTGGGGCGTGGACTACACAGCTCTTAAGCAGAAGCTGTTTTTCCATCCTAAGAACTGACCTCCTTGCTGCTTGCCAATTTGGATGACTGTGGCAGTTCTTGCGGCACGGGAGGCACTGCTTTTCCATAAAGACAGTATGAACATCTTCCTTTCTGGCCCTCTGGGCACTAAAGCACAGAAGTGCCGCTTCCATGTCACACACATGCACGGTCTGTGGGCTCACGAGTTCCGGAGCCTGGCTATTGTTTATGGAAATTGCCAGTGTGCAGCTCTGCTTCCTGTTCTTCCAGACCAGCAGGACATCCGGCTCAGCCGAGCCTTGTCATCAGTTGTCACACAGGCATTTCCTCTCTGGTGCTGCATTTACTGGCAGGGAACAATTATTCCTCATTGCCTCGGGATGCTCTCCTAGCGTCCTTCTCATTGGCTGAGCCAGTCTTCAAAAAGCAGACGTACAGCGGGAGTCATTCTTTTGGGTACACAGGCAGGAACAAAACCAGTACGGTTTACTGTAGAGAACACCAAATGCGGTCCCAAGAGCAAGGCCGCACTGTTTTGACAATAAACTGGCTCCAACCCTCAGCACCGAGTTGTCGGGAGTCGTCGCAATCCGTACCTGAGTTTTGCTGGCCCCTCCCCTCCTGACACCGCGAGCTGGGGAAGGTGGCAGTAGTGGTTCTCTTTATAATCACTGACCAGCTTGACCACATAGCCCTGGCTACTAAACACCCACCATGTACTATACTGTCCGTCATCCAGCTCATCAGCTGTCTTTCTAGATTTTTATCCACTAATATGCACCATGTTCTTGGCTGCAGCCTTAACTCCAGGTACCTCAGTTTCTCTCATTATTTAACTGAATTTAATAGTGAGCAATCCCAGTTGAATTCTGCATCCTTAGGACAGAATGCTTTGTATCAGTGCAAAATATTGTTTCTTCAGGTGTACACTGGGAATAGGTCTACTACCTTAGTAATTCATCAGATATCCAACCAATCCTTACTGAACATTGAAGGTTTAACAATGGCTTATATATTGCTCCTAAAATTCGCCTTTGAAAGGTTAATAATGTTATTTAATATATTTACATGTCCACATTTTAATTCTTTTATTTCATGTTTCAAATGACAAATTCATATTCAACACTTGGGACTGTTTAAGTAGGAATTTAAATGTAACAGAGGGCTATAAGTCTATTCAGTCTTTAGATTTGGATAGGACTGGATATGTGAGGAATGATATAGAACTTATTAGGAGGGTTTAATCCTTATCAAATAAATGCATTATCCTGACACAAAAATATTATGTAAACAAAAACTGACCTTTATCTTGTTATTTGCAGGGGAGGAAGACCCTAGATTCTCCAAGTAACTATTTTGGGTCCCTTTTTTCTTTTTATTTATTTATTTTTGTATTGGGGATTGAACCCAGGGCCGTGCATTGAGCTACTTACCGAGCAAGCGCTTGACATTTTTTTTTTTTTGGTACCCGAGATCGAACTCAGGACCTTGCGCTTGGCGAGGCAGGGTGTGGCGGCACCACTGAGCTAAATCCCCGGCCCGCCCTTAACATTTTTGGAGTCTCCTTATGTGGCCCAGGCTGGGTTCCTGCCTCAGACTCTAGAGTAGCTGGGATTACCACCTGAAGTAGTGGGCCTGAAGTAGCCCTTCTGGATCCCCAGTAAGCAGAAATCATGAACAAGAAAAGAATTAAGGCTCAGGGGTCTGGATTACTTATGTAGGATCCTTAAGGATGAAGAGCCGGGGAGATTATAGGACTCACAGGTTCAAGTTTGGACTGCTTACGTATGGCTGGTGAGACACCTGTGTATCCTAGGGTCACCATGACACCTCCTTTCTAAAATACTACTTCTAGGGGCAACCTAATTTTATGTTATCTGCTGGAGTCACCATGGAGGCCTTTTCTGTCTCACGTTTCCTTCTGAATGAAATAAACACAAAAATCTTAGGGCCAGGGATTTAGCTCAGTGGTGCCACTGCCTGCCTCGAAAGCACAAGGTCCTGAGTTCAATCCCTGGTACCAAAAAAAAAAAAAAAAGAAAAAATGGAAACACAAAAATCTTAACTTCACAGCCCTTGGGATTCTATTTTTCCTCACACTGCTACAGATAAATGATTTTTGACTCTTTTGTTGCTTTCCCCTCGCAGTTTTATTTGCCAGGCTCTTAACAGCTGAGAACGTGTTTCACTTGTGACTAGGATGGACAGATAACGCCTGACAACCCTTCTAACATCACACTCAGCCTCTTTTAAATTGTGTAGGCCTTCAGAAATACCGCAATCACCGCATATGAAATATTCAGGGCTCACTCCGAGTGCCCTGGCGCCGGGTCCCGCAGACATGCACGAGTCGGCTTCCAGGTGCAGAACAAACGCCGTGGCAAGAGGGGTGGAAGCATCGTGAATGCCAACGTCACTCGAGCCGGCCTTCCACCAGGGCCCACTTGCGGTGAAATACTGTGAAAGCAGCGTGGAAGAGGAAATAACGTAGAGCACAGTCAGGCAGAAATGAGCATACACTGAGCGTGGCCGGCAGGAAGTTAGGGCTCGGCTGTTTTCCGAGAGCAAGCTGTTTGTTCTCCCTACAAACGCGAAGAAAAAGCTCGCGAGCTGCCGTTTGGGGGCCCTTGGGGTCGCCTGACTCGTCCCTCGAGGGTGTGAGGGTGCGCTTGTGTGCGTCGCTCTCCGGGTGAAGGCAGCGCCCCCTAACATGCGAAGACCGCAGCTTCTCTCCCCGCGCCTCCAGGGAGCTCTCAGGCCACAACGCTCCATGATCCAAAAATAACTACACAGATGCGAAGAAGGCCCAGGCCCGGGACCGTTCTTCGCGACCTTTTTTGCGCTCTCGGCCAAAATGCTCGAAACCCGACCTAGCGCCACCCCTTTATAGCCAGTCCCTCGAGCCCCGCCCTAGCAACTGCTCCTAGCAACATCAGGCACTCCAGCGGGCCGCCTTATCGGCCTTAGCCAGGCCCTTCGCCTTCCCCTCCTCGGCCCAGCCAGCGTCACGTGCCGGCCCCAGGAGAGGGGAGGGGCTCGCGGAGACAGGCGGGGCGGGGCGCCGGAAGGCGAGTGTGGCGTCATCCCAGAGCGACGGGGTTTGTAGTCAGGTGCCGGGCGTTTCCGGTGCTCTCCGGGTTCCGGAGTGGGAGAAATGGCGGGGACTGGAGCGCTGGTGTGGATTCGCGGCCCCGGCTGCAGCTACAAGGCGGTGCACTGGGCCCCGGCTCGGTGCTCCGTACGAGACATTATCCACCGACACTGCCAGCATCTGGTGAGGACAGCGGTTCCCGGAAAAAAAAGGAAAGAGCGGGCTGGGGGCGGGGCCGGGCGCGCCGGGAATCTGTCCTTTCTCTGGGTTTTTAGTTTTTGGAACTGATTGTCCAGTTTTAAGATACTTCCAGTTGATATTGGGACTGACTTTGCTTTTGCTTTGTGGCGGTGGACATTTTTCTCCACAGAAAGAAAAAGATTCCCGTTGCAGATGTTTAGTCCAGCTCTCAGTTGTAAACACTTTGGTTGTATTTCTTTACCCATAAATGAGGTTGACCATTTAGGACTCACGTCCTTATATTTATACTATGGGCAGATGAGGTGTATTTTGTCACACAGCTCCGTTTGCTTCTGCCTAGAGAAGTCCTATATGTCATAGCCAAACCCAGGCAAAAGGGCGCGTGAGGAGAGAAATGGATTGGGGCCAGCCACTTACACGTGTCCTATTGAGAGCGTGGGTTCTCGAGACCTGTTACGTGTTTACATGGTCATTTATTGTGACAATTTATGAAATCCTTTCAGAGGGTTTTAAAATTACTTCTGTCTTTCTACTAAATTCTCAAGCAGACTTTTACCAACTACAAGATATTAAACCTGGTCAGTTATCTAAAGAATTTAATGATTTTCCTGAATCTGATTTGAATTTGGCTCTTGATCTAGAACTTTTTTCCTTTGTAATTACGCCTCATCTGTGCTTCTCTAGGCTGTTTTCTCTGCTCGTTATTTATAAGCTTAACAATACAAATTTCCAGAAGACCTGGTCAGTTCCATGAAGAAGCGTTGTGTGTTGGCAAATAATGTGGCTTTTCAGCTTCCTCATTTTTCTTTCTACATTGCAACTCAGGGTAAAATTAACAACTTTTTTGACCATCTAGATGGGGAAATATTTTCCAAATAGTTGGCTTTTAGTATATTTGACAGTAACTCCTGTGAGTACAGTATGCAAATTTAATGATAGTTAATCCAAAGTGAGACCAGAAAAAATAGGATCTTAACTATGAAGAGTGTTGAGAATAAGGTTTTTTGTTTTGTTTTGTTGAGACAAGATCTCACTATGTGGTCCAGGGACTGGCTTTAAATTTGCTGTGTAGCTCATTGTGGCCTCTATCACTCCTGGAGTAATGGGATTGCCAGTGTGCACCACCATGCCCAGCTGGGAATAAGAATTTTTTTTTTCTGTACTTTGGATCGAACTCGGGAACTTGCGCTTGTGAGGCATGCGGCGGAACCATTGAGCTAAATCCCCGGCCCTGAGAATAAGAATTTTAAAATAAGCAAGAAATAGAATTTATTTTCTTTGTTATTTAACAAATATAATCATAGCAAATGTGAATAGAAGCAGCACTCCTAAGGGAGCGAAGAGAATGGGGTGATCAAAATATGTCATGTGCATATATGAGTCTGCCAAAATGAAACGCATTAATCTGTATAAGCAATAAAGTGGAGAAAAAAACTTCACAACTTATAAAAAGGCATTTGATGTGGTTCCCTTCCACCTTCCCAAGAACAGGAGAGACAAACTTTGGAAAAGAAAGGGTTTATTCAAAGCTAGCTATGAATGAGGTGGAGGAGCCTCTTTTTATCTCAAATCACCTCCTCGAAGTGTGCAGGGCTTTTATAGTAAAGAAGAGAGAGGAGAAATACAGTGAGACAATAGGATGTTCCCATGCTGTTTCCCTCCTCTTCCCCTTCTGGAAACAAAACTGGATTCCATCGTCTTGGGACCAGCATCTATCCACCTGAGCTAAAGAGCTGCCGTACGCCTGCATCGTGTAGCAGTTTGGAGAAGCAGTATATTTTTAAAAGAAAAAGTACTAATTTTAAAGGTCTGTTTTACCCTCTTGGTTACCATCATAAGATTTTTTGTTTTATCTGCTATAATATCCTAACACTTGAAAAGTACTTGGACTGATAGTAAGTACTCATTTAGTTGAATGAATGAAGGAGATATCTTTTGAAATAGCTGTGGGATGTGGTTCAGAAAGAATTATTCAGAGTTTCCTTTTCTTTTTTTTGGTACTGGGGATCGAACTCAGGACCTTGCACTTCCAAGGCAGGCAGGGTGCCACTGAGCTAAATCCTTAGCCCAGAGTTTCAGTTTCAGGAAGATAGCAGTAATGCATTTTCCTTCTCCATTGGTGTTTGGATTTCTTTATTCCTGATATTGGAGATTTAACTGTGTATTTCTAGTTCCATAGAAATTTGAAGAATATTCCTCTCAGCATCAAAAACTCGTTTAGAAAGACAGTTTGTATTTTTTATTTTCATTACTTGATCTGACAGTGTTTGATATATACACAGTGGGTATGGGGCACTTGGGCAATGACAGGCTGTAAGTTGGGGGTGCTAGCAGAAAAAACAGGCACTCCTAGCTGACCCTAAAAATGTGGACGCTTATATAGTGTATTAAAAACCATACCTTTGGGCCGGGGATTTAGCTCAGTGGTTCTGCTGGCCACCTTGCAAGCACAAGGACCCAAGTTCGATCCCCAGTACCAAAAAAACTACATACCCTTGGAGGGGGCATGGCAGTACACCCCTAAAATCCCAGCACTCGGGAGGCTGAAACAGGAGGGAACACCTTAAATTTGAAAGCAGCCTGAGCTACATAGTGAGACCCTACCTCAGAACAAAACAAAATATGCCTTTGGTCCTGAGGGTTTGTAGTTCAGTGGTAGAGTGCTTACCTGGCATGCATGTGGCCCTGGGTTTCATTCCCAGCACTGTAGAACAAGAAAAAAAGCCTTATTCTTTTCTCTGTCGTTTCTCCTTCTTATACCTACTCACACTTTTCAGGACTTTTATTGTTAATTTTAAATTTGGGGGCCAGTCCTGATGTTAGGTTGCTTTTTCCTGTTTAAAAAAGTTAGAGTAGGGCCGGGGATGTAGCTCAGTGGCACCGCGCCTGCCTCGCAAGCACAAGGTCCTGAGTTCAATCCCTGGTACCAAAAAAAAAAAGTTAGAGGAAATGACCTCTGGAGTTACTGGATCAGTGCCCCATATAGTCTCCTATGACTCAGATGACCTATTAGAAAAGGAAAAAGAAATAATTTCTATTTTTGTTAAAAAAAAAAAGACTGAAAGTTTAATGTATCATGATTAGATAATACTAGGAAAATACTGTACCCAGGATGTATCATATGTATTGACTCTTTCCTTTAGTAGTTTTCATATTCAGTTCAACAAATATTAATTGAACACACTATCTGCCTGTAAGTGGAGTAACAAAAAGATAAGAAACTTTATTATGTCATAAAAGGCATTAAAAAATCCAAACTTGTCTCTAGGATGTGCCTGTGGAATGCTTCTTTGTGAAATGCGATGGAGCCCTCATTAGCACCAGTGGCCCAGTACAGCTTGGAGCTGTTTATAGTCTGGAACCTAGACTTCGTGGTGGGAAAGGAGGTAGGAAATGAATGTTCATTACTTGGTTGTAACACCTCTGTAATCTTTAACATTATGTTTCAGATTAAACTCGTTGCTTTCTGTAGTATACCATTCTGTTTTGCTTTGTGAGATCCTTCATTACCTAATTTGGGATGTTTTCTTGATTATTTATTTTTTGAGACAGGGTCTCGCTTTGTAGTTCAGGCGGGCCCTGAACTCACTATGTAGCCACTTTCTAAAAAAAAAAAAAAAAAGAAAAGAAAGAAAAGGAAAAAAAATGAATAGCATGATGCAAATAAATCCCACTTTCTTCAACTGGTTCCTCTTAGGGAACCTAGGCTCTAAAGCTGTGGGAAGATTAGACGAAGAAAAATGACCGTTACTCTGTCCAGTTTGCTGAAGAGTGAGCTTTAAAATAATCAGATGTACTTCTGCTTTTATCAGTATTTTGTCTCCTTATCGTTGTTCAAAAGGTGACCTAAAATCACTTTAGGAAACACAATTGTTTACAGGTCAATGTAAGTAAGTCCTAGTTGTACTTACATCTAAAAACTTGAGAAAAGAAATTAAAAGAGTGGAAACAGGGCTGGGGATTTAGCTCAGTGGTTCTGCCTCCTGCCTCACAAAGCGCAAGGTCCTGAGTTCAATCCCCGGCACCAAAAAAAAAAAAGAGAGTGAAAACAGAGTATGAACAGTTCTAGGTGTTTAACTGGATTAGATTTTCTTAATCTACACTGATTTGGTTTGGTTTTCGGAGCATTGACCTCAAACTGTAATCATCCTGTCTTTTGAATGGAATTCACAAGAGTGATGCATGTCACGCGCCACTGACAGCTTCAAGTTGCCTGTCCTTTTAAATTCATTGAAAAACTCGACCACTTAGTTCTTAAATTCTTAATCTGCCAATCTTGGGATCTCTGGCACTGCCTAAAGCCCTTAAAATATCCTACACTGGGGGCCGGGGATTTAGCTCAGTGGTTTCCCCGCCTGCTGCACAAGCGCAAGGACCTGAGTTCGATCCCCAGTACCAAAAAAAAAAAAATCCTACACTATAATATTCTAGAAATATGAAATGAGAGGTAAAAGGCATGAGGTTAAGTCAGATTTATCAATCCTTTTCCCTCTTTGCTTGGGTTAGAACCTTCGTGTCTCTCTTAAAAAAAAAAAAAGACTGTAGAGATCACTTTTAATCTTGTGGTCCAGAATGTCTTCACAAATCTGATTTGTGTTCATCCTTGGACACATTTTAACCTGCGTTTTCTCAATATCTTGGCTCAGGGTTTGGATCTATGCTCCGAGCACTTGGTGCTCAGATTGAGAAGACAACCAATCGGGAGGCTTGCCGGGACCTCAGTGGAAGGAGATTGCGAGACGTCAATCATGAAAAAGCGTGAGACACCCACCTTTTTCTCCTTTTAATTTTTTTGTTAGTGTATACTTACCATATGTAGTGCTCGTATTCATCATAGGGAATTTCTACATGTATATATATCTTAATTTTTTTCTCACTCCCCTCCCCTCCTTTCAACCCTTCTTCCCTTCCCCATTTAAAAAAGCTTTGTTTCTGCTTTTTTCTTTCCATTCTTTTTTTTTTAATCCCTTTTCCCTTCCTTCCCTTCTCCCTCCCCCCTCCCTTGTTCCCCTTCCCATTTGAACATATTCTTCCTGCTTCCCAATATCTACCCTCCATTTTGTTCCTTGTTTACCTTTAGGGTTTGTTATAGCTTGTGTTTGGATGTTCCCCCAAAGCCTCATGCGGTCATAGGTGGGGCTTTTTCAGAGGTGGCTGGATATAGAGTGTGTGATGCAGGAATTGATTCATGGTGCTGTGCTAGGCTCAAGGGCACTGAGATTAAGGGTGAGTGCTACCCAGCCTAGTAGCCTGGATAAGATAAAAGGGCAGACAGATCCTGTTAAGGCCCTCGCTCGCTTGCTTTGCTGCCTCCTGCCCTCCGTGAACTGTTTTTGCTCTGCGGTGCCTCTCTGCCTTGGATCTAGCCAATTATGGACTGAAATCTCTACAAACTGAGCTAAGTAAACCTTTCCCCCTTTAACTTTGAATGCCAGGTATTTTGTCTCAGCAACAAGAGAAAAGTAACTAAGACAGGATTTCTCACACGAGAAACAATAGTGATTTTTAAACTTGGTGGACACCCACTGTTTTTTGAAGCTGACAGCATATTTTCCTATTGATAGTGAATTGTACAGGCGCCATGCATATCAGAAATATAAACTTAGGTACATTGTGGCTTTTATTGTTAGATTTAACCTTTCCCATAATTTAATAATCATCTTTGGGTTTTTATTAAATTTATACAGTATCCTAGCATGAAGCACAGCACATCTCTCTAGGGAAATGCCACCATTTGAAAGTTCATTCATTTGTCTAGAGGACATTTTACCCTGAGGCTTGCATTTTTTTTTTTTGTACTGGGGGTCAAACTCGGGACCTTGCACTTTCGTGAGCTAAATCCCCGGCAAGAGGACATTGTATACATCCAGTAATGTATTAATAGTATGGCTAATGTGTCATGAGGCTATAAGAATTTTTCAGCTCCGTTATACCCTTCTGGGACCACTGTCACACATGTGCTCTGTCTTGAGTGAAATGCTATGTGACGTATGACCACAGTAGCATTTATATGCATACATACTCTGCCCCTTCAGTTACATCTCTTCTCTCCCTTTCCCAGGATGGCTGAATGGGTGAAACAGCAAGCTGAGCGGGATGCTGTGAAGGAGCAAAAGCGCCTGGAGCGACTGCAACGGAAGCTCGCAGAACCCAAGCACTGCTTCACCAGCCCTGAGTACCAGCAGCAGTGCCATGAGATGGCTGAGCGCCTGGAAGATTCTGTCCTCAAAGGTGACACAGAGGATCCTTAGTGTGGTCTGCATGCACCCTGGAGCCAGTAGTTTTAGACTGCTCCACACTGAACACAAATGGCAGTTCTGAACATTTCGGAAAATCTGATGAAAGCCTCAACACCTCTTTCCTCAAAAACAAAAACTGGCTGGGTCATGGATGTAGCTCAGTGGTTCCGCTGCCTGCTTTGCAAGCGCAAGGTCCGAAGTTCGATCCCCGGTACCAGAAAACCCCCAAAACTGGCTGGGCATAGTGGTACATACCTATAATTCCAGTTTCTTAGAAGGCTGAGGCAGAAGGATTGCAAGTTTGATCTGATCCTGGGCAATTTAGCAAGACTTTGTCTCAAAATAAAATTTTAAGCCAGGTGTGTGGTATGTGCCTGTGATGCCAGCATTCAGGAGGTTGAGGTAGGAGGATCACTGTGAGTTCTAGGCCAGCCTAGACTCCATAGTGAGTGCAAGGCCAGTTCTTAAATTTTAAAAAGGCACAGGGTACAGCTCAGTGGTAGAGTTCTTGTCTTAATGTGTGAGGCCCTGTGTTCAACCCCGGTACCAAAACAAAACAAAGCAGACGACAGCATATTTTACTGTGCACTGCCCTGCACACATTGGGCATACTTAACCTCTGAATTTGGGCCCTTGGACCCCAGGTAAGAAAACTTTCTTGTGTTTGTGGGGATATGCTGAGTCTTTAGGAGGTGACCACAATATATTTGCTTCCAATTTTAGGTCAGTCTTCAAAACAGTTTTAATGAAGATAGCTCCCTTTAACTTTTGTTTTTTTAGTCTGCAAAGTATTAAGCCTATTATGGGTACAATAGAAGAAAAAGAAATCTTTCCTATCAAAAAGGTTTTTATATAACGGGAAAGACAAATGTATACAAATAATCAACACAAGAGGACAAATAATTAGGTTTGGGGAGGACTAGATCATTACCTGTCAGCCTCAAAAGTTATAAATTGAGTATTGATGGTTTAAAAATCCAGTTTCAGAACCAGAATGTTTATTTGAAATCTTTATGAATTTGAGATTATTCTCATGTAAACCATATAAAATTGTAGTACTTTAAGAAATACTAAATATTTATTTATTGTTTATTTTTGTGGTACTGGGGATTGACAGAGCCTTCACACTGAGCTACGTAACGCTCACCCCTTTTATTAAGGGATTTTTGAGAGAGGGGGCAGAATCTTACTAAGCTTGCCTAAGCTGGACTCAAGCCCCCCACGTAGGCTCCCAGAGTGCTGGGATCATAGGTGCGTTGCTACACCTGGCTCCTTCAGAAATTTAAGTCTAGAACTTTAGGTTGTACTTTTTTGTAGTCCAGGTTGTATACTTTGAACTCAGTCCTGATAGGAGAAACTTGTTAAATTTCTGGTTAGGTATACAAGCTTCCTCCAGCAAGATGGTATCAGCAGAAGTCAGTGAGAATCGAAAACGTCCTAACAGATCACAAACAGACCAAGGAGTCAGTGCAAAGAAAAAGAAATGCTTTTGGTAAGTAGGTTTCATTTTCCTTCCAAATTGATCTGGAGGACGGAAATGATACATTTCTTCTGTCTACCTGTCACACACACATTTTTCAGTTATGTTTGTTAGAAGTTCAGAAAACTGCAGAGGGGTTCAGTTGTCAGGTTTCAGTGATTATCATATAGTACATATTTTCTGCTTTCTGCTGTGACTATCATTCAGAGAAAATAAAGGGCAATTTTTTTCCTTTCAGTGAAACATTACATAAAGATAATTATATATTCAAATTACTTTCAGTATTGAGAGAATTAACTTTTCTATATTCTAGGTACATGTCAAGCTGTACTTCCCATGTTGCTGGTCTTCGGTTGCTTTGCTAGACCTGTCCACTACTTGTGGCGGAAAGGCATAGCATCCCTTTTTTCTTAGCATCCCATTCTGTTGTTCTCTTGGTCCTCTGCTTGACCCTCTGGTTGCCAGCTCAGTTCCCCAGCTCTGTAAGTTCTCAAAAATGCTAAGTGTCACTAGATCTTGCTTTCTTATTGCCCTTCCTTTGGGGATACAGTGGTACCTCAGTTCACAAACTTAGATTCTTTCCATGATTCTGAGTTGGAGGAGGATCGAATCAAATTTAATGGTTGGGTTTAGTGTTGACCTTGTGGGGAAATTTGATTGTGTTCTTGTCCAGTTTGGTTTGTGACCAGAATTGTGGTGAGAATTGAATTCATGAATCGAAGTACCACTATAATTATAACTAAAGATCATGTAACTCTTGACTTCAGAGAATTTTGTGTGTGCTTTCTAACAAGGGAATTAAATCTTCCTGAGAGAAAAGATAGTGGTATTATCTGTATTTATTTTTAAAATCAGGTTTGAGGTATAATTTATATACAGAAAAATTCACAATTTACAAGTGAGCACTTCATCGAGTTTTGAAAAATATATGTAGTCATGTAACCATCACTACCACAATTGATGTGTACAAGAATAATGTCAACCTAGGTAGTTCCTGTGTACCCCTTTGCAGTTAGTTCCCTTCCCTCACCCCCACACTCCGGCAGCCAAAACCACCAATGTGATGTCTGTTCCTATGGCTTAGTCTTTTCCAAAATGTCATTTAGCCTTTGTGGCTTGGCTTCTTTTGCTTAACAGGCTTATACGATTCATTCATGATATTATGTGCATCAGTAGTTCATTCTTTTTTTAAAGTACGTGTTTGTGATAATGAATATGTTCATTATGAGGTGTTGGTACATGTGCATATTGAATCTTAATCCTCTTTACTTTCCCTTTCCCTCCCCAAGCTTCCCTCCCATATCTAGATCCCCTTCCCATTTAAAAAGTCTATAGTATCTCCATGTTTCCTATTATCATTTTTTTTTTGGGTACCTGGGATCAAACTCGGGACCTTGTACTTGCGAGGCAGTCAGAAGAACCACTGAGCTAAATCCCTGGCCCCTCCTGTTATCTATTTTTTATTTTACTAATCTTTAAATTATTTAAACTTTGGGTTTCTCATATAAGAGAAACCATGTAGTATTTAAGCTTCTGTGTCTGATTTATTTTACTTAGCATGGTGGTCTCAATGTATACCCATTTTCCTACAAATGACTCAAATTTATCATTTATTGTGGCTGAGTAGTATTTTCTTGTGTACATAAATCAGATTTTCTTATCCATTCATGGGTTAACATGTTTACAACAGGGCCATCATTTATCTCACTGCTGAGAGTGGCTTGGACCACTGGTGGTACATGCATGACTCTCCCATCTGGTGTCTTGGACTGACAGTAGAAGTGGTCATGCACAGGATGGTCAGGCATGGGGCAGTTATGTGTGTACCACCAGTGGTCTAAGCTGACAGACATGTGCTCGTGTGATGGATACATCAGCTACTTCCAAGATGTGGCTGTTATGAGGGAAACATGGGCATTCATGTGTCCCTGTGATGGTATGTCTAATTCTTTATGGAAGATATCTAGAAGGGCAGTAACTGGGTCAAATGGGATTTTCTATTTTTAATTTTTTTGAGGAATCTCTGTACTGATTTGTGTAGTTGTACTAGTTTATATCCCCACCAGCAGTGTAGAAAAGTTCCCTTTTCCACGCGGCCCTGCCAGCATTTTTTTTTAATTCATTCTTTCTGGAGTAAGATGGAATCTCAGTGTTCTTCATTTCTCTTTTCTCTAATGGCCAGCAGTGTTGAACAGTTTTTCATGTCTTTATTGGCCATTTGTACTTCCAAGAAGTTTATACATTTCATTTGCCCATTTTTTTTATTAAGTCTTGTTTTAAAGGGTGTAATTTTTTTTTTTTTGTACTGGGCATTGAACTCAGGACCTTGCACTTGTGAGGCAGGCGTGCTACCACTGAGCTAAATCCCCGGCCCTGGGTCTAATATTTTTAAGTTCTTTATATATATTTAATTATTTTTTAAAAAAGTAATGTATATATTTTGGATATTTTTTTGAGACAATATATCACTATGTAGTTCAGGCTGGCTTTGAACTCACTGTGTAGCCCAGGCTGGCCTCAAACTCATGGCGATCCTCCTTCAGCCTGGTGAGTGGTGGGATTACAGACTATACCACCACACCTGGCCTCTTTATATATATTTTAGATAATTTTTTTCTCATTTTGTACGTTTTGTCTTCATTCTGTTGGTTGTTTCCTCTGCAAAAGCTTTTAAATTTGACATAATCCCATTTGTTGATTCTTTGTGTTATTTCTTATACAGTTGTGGTTCTGAGACAGTCCTTGCCTATGCCTTCAGGAGTTTTATTTATTTTATTTTCCAATAAATTCAGTGTATCTGTTTTAGTATTTAGATCTTTGGTCCATTTTGATTTTATTTTAGTGCATGGTGAGAGATAAGGGTTTAAATTTAATCTTCTGCATATGGATAACCAGTTTTCCCAGCACCATTTGCTAAATGGGCTTTTTTCTAGTGTATATTTTTGGCCCCTTTGTCAAAGATCGCATGTTCGAGTGTGCCTGGAGTTGTTTCTGCATTTTCTGTTCTGTTCACATGATGAACCTGTTTGTTTTTGTGCCAGTACCATGCTGCTTTTATCATTGTAGTTTTGTAGTACAATATAGTTTAAGATCCAGGATTGTGACGCCACCTGATTTGTTCTTGTTGCCCGGGATTGCTTTTGCTATTCTGGATCTCTCCTGGTTCTACATACTTTTTAGGATTGTTTTTTCTAGTTCTGTCAAGAATGCTCTTGGGGAAAAAAAAGAATGGTCTTGGTATTTTGATTGAGTTTGCCTTAAATCTATGTATCAGCTTTGGGAATGTCATTTTGACCATATTTGTTTCTGCCTGTCTAGAAATAGGTGATCTCTTTCCACTTTTTGGTGTTCTCTTTGATCTCCTACTTCAGATTACTATAGCTTTCCTTGTAGGACATGTCTTTTACTTCCATGGTTAAGACCTAGGTTTTTTATTTAGAGTGTGTGTAGGTGGGTGGAGGGGCTATTATGACTGGTATTGTTTTCTTGACTTCTTTCTCATTGTGTTCATTGTTGGTGTTCAAGAACACAGTTGATTTTTGTGTGATTTTATATCCTGCTACTTCCCTGAAAATTGTTTATTAGTTCTAGGAATCTTCTGGTGGAATCTTTTGGGTCTTCTACATTTAGGATCATTCCATCTGCAATCTTTGCTATTCTTATCCTTTTAATTTTTTTCTTTTGCATGGTTGCTCTGGGTAATGTTTTTTTTTTTGCACTGGGGATCGAACTCGGGACCTTGTGGTTGCAAGGCAGGCCCCAGAACCACTGAGCTAAATCCCCAGCCCTGGGTAATGTTTTTTGTACTGTATTGGACAGGAATGGTGATAGTGGACATCCTTTGTGTTGTTCTTGATTTAGCATGATGTTGGTTTAGTATAATGTAATAGATGGCTTTTATCAGACTATAATAAGCTCCTTCTGTGTCTATTTTCAGAGTGTTTTTTGGGTTTTTTTTTTTTTTTTTTTTTTTTTTTTTTTTGGTTTTTTTTGAGGCAGGGTCTCCCTTTGTAGTTCAGGCTGGCCCTGAACTCACTATGTAGCCCAGGCTGGCCTCAAACTTGTGGTGATCCTCCTGCCTCAGCCTCCCGAGTGCTGCGATTACAGACATGCACCACATGCCTGGGTTCAGAGTGTTTTTTAAAATCACAAATGGATTTTTTATTTTGTCAAAGGCTTTTTCTATGTCTGTTGACATAAAATCGCATGATTTTTGTCCTTGCTTGTGTTTATATGCTGTCTTATGTGTGTTGAACCATCCTTGCATCCCTGGGATGAAGCTGACTTGGTCCTCATGTTTGATTTTTTTAACAATTTGTTGCATTTGTTTGCCAATATATTGTTGAGGATTTTTGAATCTATGATCATTATAGAGATTTGCCTCAAGTTTTCTCTTTATTAAGTCCTTTTGTGGTTTTAGTATCAGGTTAAAATTAGCTTCCAGGATGAGTTTTGTAGTATTCCTTCCCTTTCAGGTTTATTGACGATTTTGAGGAGTAGCACCATTTGCTCTTTCCTGAAGTTCTTGTAGAATTGATCAGTGAATCTACTGGGTCTTGGGCTTTTCTTCATTGGTAGGGTTTTGTTTGTTTGTTTCCACAAGGTCTCCCGACTGTAATATAGTGTAGAAAAGGCCAGCTTTCGCTCCCAGGTGTGCCCTCGTCCTCAGACTTTAATGTCATGATTTAGAAGATGCAGATGTTATTGTCTAAATATTACTCTAGGGGCCGGGGATTTAGCTCAGTGGTTCCAGTGCCTGCCGTGCAAGCGCAAGGTCCCAAGTTTGATCCCCAGTACCCGCCCCCCCAATTATTCTATACATTTCCATCAGTGTCAGGAAAACACTAAAAATTGCTACTTAATTTGCACTGTAATCGCTGGGGTGTAGCTTTAGCTCAGTGGAACTTTTGGAAGAGATACTCTTGAAAGCTGTGGATGTCCTTAATAGCCTCTCAAACCGGATGCCATTCAGAGAGGGTCTTGCAGCTTGCAAGCTTCCATCTCGCACTACACCACATTCTGGGTGTGTGCCGGTTGTAGTGGACGCGGAAAAGCGGGAAACGTTCCTCTGCTTGGAGTCACGGTTATTGATGTCCAGCCCCTTGCAGATCTCCTGCATCATGTCACTGGGGTCCATGAAACTAGTGGTTTTCATGCTCCAGGTGAAGTGCAGGGAGCAGGATTTTGCTTCTTTATTTTCATCCTTTTGCTTGGAGGACCACATTTCAATGCCTTGTGAGTTTGGAAATTAATTTACTGAAAAGATCAGTTTTTTTCTTAACTTTTTTTGGGTAAGTTTGCTTAAAGATTTGTCATTGTTTATCCTTTCAAAGAACCGGGTCATTGATTCATTGAATCTTTTTTTTTGGTACCAGGGATTGAACTCGGGACCTTACACTTGCGCAGCAGGGGCCAGAACCACTGAGCTAAATCCCCGGCCCAGATTCATTGATTCTTTATATTGTCTTTGTCTCAGTTCATTAATTTTCTCTCTGATCTTTATAATTTTTTTCCTTGTACTAGTTTTGGAATTGGAATGTTCTTGCTTTTTTAGGGCGTGGAGCTACACTAGGTTATTTGGAATCATTCTGTTTTTCTGATGTGGGCATTCATGGCTATAAAATTACCTCTTGGGACTGCTTTCATTGTGTCACGTAGGTTTTGGTGTGTTGTAGTGGCATTATCATTTCATAACCCTTTTATGCTTAGTGTTCCATCTGTGGAACTCTACAAACATGCCACCATGCCCAGATTCTCCTAGATTTTTGTTTGGTACTTTTTCATGAACTCTAAACTGGTCATTCATATTTTATATTGTTTTGGTTAGCTCTGCTAGCTTTTATTTGTGTATTTTTAAAGTCTGTTATATGTTTAGTTACATCATTTTCTGGAGGGTTTTTTTTTGTGCTGGGGATTGAACTCAGGACCTTGTGCTTGCCTGGCAGGCTCAGCACTGCTGAGCTACATCCCTGGCCCTAGTTAATCACTGTTGAGCTTGCTAAACACCTACCTTATTGATCTGGTTTTGTTTGTTTGTGTGTTTCTTCTTTTATCCGTTCCTACAACCCTCTCTCCCCATTGATGCCCATTGGATCAGCTTTGGGGGAGTTAGGAGTTTTGGGAGGCATTTTGTTGCCTTGTTTTCTTGTGTTTCTATTTGTTTGTGTCTTACATGCTGATTATTGGGGATCAGTTAGAGTGGAGAGACTCCACTACTAGATAGAGATCTCTAGTTAGTTTCTGCTTTCCAGTGAAGTGATCTTGGCCAGATATAGGCCTTTGCCCTTGTCTTAAGATCAGATCCCCTCAGTTAATTTGAGAAGGGAAGGTGCAGTATAATTGGCTTAGTACCCAGTTTTGTGCTGATTTCCACGGGGGCCCTCTCTATCCCTGTGCCCTTCCCTGCACCTTATCCTGAAGCTGCTTCTGTGTTCTCCTTAATAAACCTTCTGCTAAGGACATTGCTGGATGCTGTCTGGCCAGGGCACTGCTCTCCAGCTCTTTCCCATGGTGTTTCCTTTTTCTTGCCCCTCAGAGCAGCGCTCTCCAGCCCATGGACTCAGTGGAGCCTCAGGGCCCACTGTGTTCATAGTCCCTGGTAGTGGGCAGTGGAGGATCTTGTGTGGGTTCCTGATCGGCTGGCATGCGGTGAACTGGATGTTCTGCAGGCATAACATTCCTGGTGTTTGGGGGAAGAATGGGCAATGGCCTATGCCTAGGCCAGTCTGGTCTCTTCTCTCTCTCGGGTCTCACTATTCACAGGTGCTCCTGTAGCCCCTAAGCCATGGATTACTCAGCATTCACATCTGGGTCCCTAATCCAGATCGTGGTCTTATTTTCAACTCCCCCAAGCACCTGCTGGTGCTTTCTTAGACCTGGCTTGCTAATTTTTATTTTTTTCTGATTTGCAAATGTCTTGTTTAGGGTCTTCCTTTTCCCATTGGGTGTAGTTGGAAGGTTAGGAGCCTAGTCCAACAGCCCAAATAGTATTGAAGTGCAGGCTCTTTCCCCTCAGGGCCTTAGATTGTCTCCCAAGATGGCATGTATGCCAGACCTGGCGGTGCTGTGGTCTTTGAGCAGTCTGCCTTCCCTTTATAAACCCTCCTGATACTGGGTTTGGATCTAGTGGGTTTTCCCTAAAGTTTGCTTTCCCATATCTAGGTTTTTTTTCCACTCTGTTTCATAGTTTTTCCAGCTCCCTTGATGCTGCCTGTGGCTATGATGGAAAACAAAGCAAAACAAAAAACAATACTTCATTCCTCTTTATTGCTAAGGTTCATGGATGTACCACAATTTATCCATTCTCCACTTGGTATACATTTGGGGAGTTTCCAGTCAGGGGCAATTATGAATAGAGCATTGGGTTTTCTTTATAACTGTAAGCAAAATGAGTTGTCACAGATTTATTGCTTTTTTTTTTTTTTTTTAGTACTGGAGATCGAACTCGGGACCTTGCGCTTGTGAGGCAGGTGGCGGAACCACTGAGCTAAATCCCTGGCCCCAAAACATTTATTACTTTTTAAAAAAGATTCGACTGCCCCACCCCCAAAACAGAGAGAGAGAAGGATCCTGTTGGATCCATTGGCTCTTAGGAATAGTTTATTCCAGTCCCCTGAGACTTGTTTTCCTATTTATGCTTCTAGAATATCTTTCTTTCCTGAAAATTTCCTCTGTCCACCTTAAGCTAGCCCATACTTAAAGAAACTATTTCCTGGACGAATCGCAACTTTTTGGAAATTGAGTTTTTTTGGTGTTAACTGCAGATTGAAATGCACTTTGCACTGAACTACAGCTACAGTCATTTTTAAAATTTTCATTTCCAGATGAGGTTTCCCTAGGGGTGGGGTTTTAGCTCAGGGGCACCATGCCTGCCTTGCAAGCACAAGGTCCCAAGTTCAATCCTCGATACCAAAAAAAAAAAAAAAAAAGATGAGGTGTCACTAAGTCATTAAACAACAGAGTCGAAAAAACAACAGAGCCCAGAGACTGACCCTAGGAAGAGTATTTCAGAAGACCTGTGCTGAGCTGGGAGAGACATCTGCTGAGGTGCACAGGCAGAAAAAAATGGTCAGAGAAACAAAGGAGACCCAGGAGAGAAAGAAGGCAAGAACCCATAGAAAAGGTAGCAGCTAGGTAGTTGCCTGGGCTGAGCTTGAATTTCCAGTCCTCTCCTTCAGCCTCCCGAGTACAGCCACTACCACACCAGGCCACAGATCTTTGTCTTTAGTAGAAACTCTAAATGGTGTTCAATCTTGCTGTTGCTTTTGACAGGTTGGGCCTGGAAGGACTGGAGGCTGCTGGGGGCTCCAGCTCTGAGAGTTCAGATGATGACAATGAAGAAGTACCTAGTACTTCAGGCATGAGCTTCTCCACCCCAAACACCAGCAGGAATTGTATTGAGGTGGCAGCCAAATTTCCCAGCAGTGCTCAGAGGGCAAGAGAGTTGGCTACAGACTCTGAATCATCAGAAAAACAACAGAGCCCTGTGACTGGCCCTGGGAAGGGTATTTCAGAATACTCATGTGCTGAGCTGGGACAGACATCTGCTGAGGAGCACAGGCAAGAAAAGATGGTTAGAGGAACAGAGGAGACCCGGGAGAGAAAGAAGGCAGAGCATCAAGAATCCATAGAAAAAGTACAAGCTGGGCCTGGACTGAATAAGGATGAAGAGACAAAAGAAATGACTAATGGAGAAAGAGCTGCCAAGAGAGCTGCTGCAGAAGATAGGGGAAACATCCCTGTGGCAAAAGTAGAGGAAACCCCATCAGGAAACACAGTAAGTGCTACTATTTTGGGTTGATGCCTAGAGGAAAATCCATATAACCACCACAGTGTCATTAAATAAAAATGTGGGATTTTTTCCCTTGTCATTTGCTTAGTGAAAGAGTTATTTAATAGTAAGAAGTACAGATGATGGTGGTTTCACTCCGAAGATTGTGAGCTTTGGAATTTATACTGATTTGCCACTAGGTGGTGTCTGTTCCAAGATGCCTGTTTTTCACATTTTTCACATCTGAAATCAGATGTATATATCACATACTTTAAGTTAATTGGTACTGCTTATTCTTTTTCTTTTTTCTTTTTCCTAAAGTTTTTTTAAAGGGAGGAAAAGAAACAGGCTCTGCAGAGCAAGTTTTAGCCAAGTAAAAGTAGAAAAAGAAGTACACCCTACAGCAAGAGGATGGGCCACCATGCAAGAGAGAACACAGTGCCCTGGTACTGCTTAGTCTTAGCATGTGAGGGTGTTTACAAGGTGGCAATTTAGATTTGATGAAATGTGCTCGCATTTTCTATCACTAAGTTAGTGTTTATTCTCTGTCACGTGAGGCAGTTTGAACAAAGATTGTCACCTGGATGAGAAGATCTTTCCTATAGAAGAGAAGCACCCATCTCTTTCTAGATTTATCATTAAATCTTTCATCCTGCGTTCAGTCTGTTATGGCCTATATCTGTATGGTCTCTCAAAGCCTCATGTGCTAAGGGGTGGGGCTTTAGGAGTTGATTGGATCATAAGTGTGTGGTTCTTAATCAGTGAAGAGTTCATAGCTAAGTGTGATGTTGGGAGGGGGAGGTGGGCCCTGGAGCTCTTTCCTGGCAGGGTGTGTCTCCTTCCCTTTCTCCCATGGTGTTCTGCTTCCTGGAGCCACACTGTTAGTAGTGCCTCTTCTGCCATGCTACCCTGCCTTGGAGCGAGCTGACTGTGGACTGAAACATCTACAGACTGAGAGCCGTAATAAATCTCTCCTCCTTTAACTTGTGGGTGTCAGGTATTTTGTCCCAGCAATGAGAAAGTAACTAAGGCAGCTTTTGGTACCAGAAAAGTGGGGTTATTGCTGTGATGCTGCTGTAGGAAATCTGGACCAGGAAAGACAGACCCGCTCAAAAGAGATGAAGGAAAGACAAGGCTTTATTGGACTGGATGGCCCAGTGGAGCTAGGTACCCTGCAAAGACCTGGGCCCCAGAATTTTAGAAAATGGTTAGTTTTATACAGAAATTGAAGTTGGTGTAGGCCTGGGATGAGCGATAGTTGGGGCTTTCTTTAGGAACAGGGTGCTCACATAGCCTGACACAGCAGGGTACGTCTTGTGAGTGCTGAGGCTAACGGGGAATGTTTTCAAGGCTAACAGAGGACACAACAAGACCTGCATTGTGAGCTTGGAGGCTAGCAGGACATGTATATGTATACACATTCAAGGCTAATAGAGGGGACATAACAGAAGACATATGGTTAATACTGAAGCTAACAGGATGTGTCTCTGAGGCTGACAGGAATGACTGACAGAGTGGTGAGTCATCCCCGGGGCTCGCAGTGAGCATGAGTGTGCCAGGATTCACTCTCACTTAATTACGTGTAGGAGAGGCACTCCATAGTCATGAACCTTTACTTATTTATTTATTTTGAGCATTAGAGGAGGCTTTTATTCTTGGCCAACAGTAGGAAAAAGGGGAGATGAACACACAAATCCGCTTCTCAGCACGTTAGGGTGTGGAGGTTATATATATAGTTTAAAAGAAATGCGGGGTAGGAGGATAGGCTCAGGTTGGAGGAACAGTCATGTATTCTCTGGGAATGAGAACATATTTCGTGGGAGATCTGGTTCTGCCTTTTTCTGTTCTTCTGTTGTTCCTTTCTGGTCATTGCCATGCAGTTTGTCAACTGTTTTGACACTAGTGTGGCAGTTGGCATGCAGATGGCTATAATGGAGTTAGAGGTTGTCTGGCAGTCAGCCATCTTAGATCCACCCAGTTTTAGCCAGCCCACCTGAAGAGGAACCTGTGTTCTCCAGGCTTCCTGTCCTCAGAGGAACAAGATCAGGGTGGAATAGAATTCTGCTAGGTCAAATAGGGTAAGATCAGGGCAATGTAACGATGTTGGGCCCAAACTCAGTAAACTCTAACAAAACTTCTCTCCTAATTTTTTGTGCCCAGTCTCATTGGCACCATGGTATTATGTGGAAAACATTTAGTTTTCACTAACAAGTTACAGATTTCTCAAAGACGTTAAAATATTAAAAATGAATTTCCAATAGAGACCCTTTAGCAGGTTCAGGAAGTACCTTTCTGTCCCTATCTTGCTGAGAGTTTTTATCAATAATAGATGTAGTCCAGTCTTTTTTGTATGCCTCTTGAGATGACTATATAGGTTTTCTTCGTTCAGTTTGTTAACATGATGAATTACACTGATCTTTGACTATTAGGCCAGTCCTGCAGTCTTGGGATAAACTTCAAGAAAACATGGTGTGTTTTCCTTTTTTTCTTTTGCTAAAATTCATTTAACTAAAATTTTGGTTTTTAATTTTTGCAGCTGTGTTCAAGAGGAATATTTTAGTTTTCTTGTAGTGTCTTTCACTGATTTTAGGATCAGGCTAATGCTGCCCTCAAATAAAAAATTGAGAGTTTGTATAGATAGGTTGTTATTTCTAAAAGAACTGATTTTTGGGCTGGAGATTTAGCTCAGTGGTTCTGCCTCCTGCCCTGCAAGCACTAAAGACCCGAGTTCGATCCTGGGCACCAAAAAAAAATAAAATAAATGAAAGAATTGATTTTTAATTTCCTCTCAAAAGTTTAGTAGAATTCATCAGTGAAGCCATCGAGGCCTGGAGTTTTCTTTATGATAAGGTTTTTAACTATAAATTTTATTTATTTATTTATTTATTTATTTATTTATTTATTTTTGGTACCAGGGATCGAACTCAGGTCCTTGCACTTTCGAGGCAGGCGGCCGAACCACTGAGCTAAATCCCTGGTCCCTATAAATTTTATTTTTAAAAATGGACATGGAATGGCCAGGGATTTAGCTCAGTGGTTCCACCGCCTGCTTCGCAAGCACAAGGATCCGAGTTCAATCCCCGGCACCAAAAAAAAAGATAAAAATGGACATGGGGGATGCAAGGGCGGTACTGAGAAGCAATCAGATTCTGGTTTAGTTTTTTTCTTTTCTTTTCTTTTCTTTTTTTGGTACCGGGGCTCAAACCTGGGTCCCTGCGCTTTCACAGCAGGCGACGAAACCACCGAGCCAAATCTCCCTCATGAACCTTTCATAAAGTTCAAGTGGGGGAGAGGTTACTGAAGATCAAGCCAAGAGATCTGACATGCATGTGTTCTGGCCTAGAACTTCAGTGATTTTCTGAGATTTTGTTATTTTCTACCTCTCTCAAAATAGTAGAAGAAGGATTGGCCCTGGGATGTAGCCCAAACTCAAGTGGGTGGAGGGGAATGGTCTCCCAATCCCCATTGTGCTGCCTGTGCTAGAAGGACACCATTGACAGATGAACTCCAGGCCGTGTGTGTTCTGCTCTGGTTGAAAATTTGTATGCATTTTGTTCATGTCTAGACACTTTGCAGGAAACTGAAAAGGGCAGCAGACTAATCTGGTGGAAGAAATTTCTAGGTAGTCTCATGTTGAGGAGGTGACATGGCTACTGCTGGGGCCCTTTAGCCAGCTCTACTTTGAGAATCAAGACCAAACAGTCTAGCAGCATGATTTAAAAAGTTTTGAGTTTGGCCAGAAAGGAAGCCCTGATAAAGTTGGGACCTGCAAAGATGGAGCAGAGGAGAACCTGGTTGCTGAAAAGATTAGTATAAAAAGACAGCTACTACTTTGGAATGTAACAGTAGAAAAGATGGTCTGAGGGCATCACAAGAGCCAACGAGACTCCATCCTTTGCAGGCTCAAAATTACAAAAGTGAGGGCCAGGGATTTAACTCAGTAGTTCTGATGTCTGCCTCATAAGCGCAAGGTCCCTAGTTCGATCCCCAGTACCAAAAAAAAAAAAAAAATTGCAAAAGTGAAAGGCTTGGCTTTAAGAAGAGAGCCCCAGGATACCATGTTCCAGAGTGGCTGCAGGCTATTGAACAGGAATTGATTCATGAGGATTCATTTCATCATGCTCAGGCCTCCAGGGACTCAGAGGCCTCTGCTACCACCCCCAAAATACAAAAACCCTCAGCTCCTGCTCCAGTTGGCATCAGATGGTTTCATCCATTTGGTGCTCATTTTACATCCGTGCAGAATGCAAGAGTTGTAGGTTCAAGAGGGCTTCCATCTGGATTTCAAAAGGCCTGGGCGGCTAGGCAGTGTTACCCTGAGAAGGCAGTGTGTGAAACTGAGTGTAAAGGCAAAAGTGCAGTAGAGATCCCAGGATTTGGAAAAGCCAGGAAGGTGGAGCGTCTGAGGAAGGCTGCAAGCATGAGTAAAGCCGACCCAAGAGAGAGGCCTTCAGGGCTACGATCAAGAGCAGTGCCGTAGGGGCAGAACCACCCAAGCCCTTTGAAGTTCCCATCTTGCACAGATTGCCCTGGGTGCTGGACATAGAACTATGGGATTTCATGTTTCCCCTGCTAGGTTTTAATCTTGCTTTGGTCCTATTCCTTTCAGTTCCCATCTTTCTGCCTTTTGGGATGGGAATCTTTATCTTGTACCATTGTATGTTAGAAATATTTAGCTTTCTTTTCATTTTTACAGTGGCTCCCAGCCAAGAATTGGCCTTAAATCTCAGAGGAGACTTTGGACTTGGACTTTTCAGCAGTGCTGCAACTGTTAGGCCTCTGGCATCTCTTAGAGATGAACTGAATGCCTTTTGCATAAAGGGATGCACATAACTTTTGGGGGGCCAGGGGCAGAATGTTATGGTTTATATCTAAAATGTCCCTCAGAACTTCATGCTGCCTTAGGTGAAGTTTTTGGGATTAGTTCACTGATGAGTTTATAGCTAAATGTGATGTTTCTGGTACTGGGGATCGAACTCGAGGCAGGCGCAGTGCCATTGAGCTAA